TGTTTGCCTAAATAAATGTCAGGAGAGGGAGGTGTATTTCCCTTTCTATTAAAATGAAGACTTTCTTTATATCGAAGAAAATAGCAACCGAATGTTGTTCGTTGATGAAAGCATACTGGGGTTTCAGCCTCTAATGCAACTTGATGGTCTATTGTGCTGAACGCAAATTGAAATGTCTGCAGTAAATTATTTTTCTCTATAATCCTCATCAATCTCTTCTTTACCATACGTTCCATTATTTTACTTAAACAGCTTGTGGGGAATATAGGACGATAGCTATCTGGGAGCCGGCAATAAATAAAACAGGACGGGGAAGTTGGTTTAAATATCTAAAAGATGTTGTGAGTCTATTAAGCGATCTTGTGGCAGGTATACACCTGGCACATTGCAAATTGAAAAGGTCAAACCATGGTGAACTCTGGCTGCAACAGATTGAAGATGGGTGTAATTGGAATTAATTCTGAATATACAGATTTACGTATAGCTATTAGAACTCCGTGGTGACTGTGGTTTGGGTTCGTACTATCTTTTCTGTATATTCTAAATTTTTAAAGGTGAAGTTGTCTTATACAGTAAGATGAGTCTCTTGAAGAGCAAACCAAAACGGATCGGTGTCAGATATTAATATTTTTAAATCATTAAAGTGGGTTTTTGAAGCATTGCAGTTCCACTGAATTAACGACATGGTTGATAATTGTTTTAAAATACTACAACCACCTAATACAGATAATACATTGCTTTTATTTGTCAGGTTTTCGTTCCATAATTTGTCCTTTTTTGTAAGTGACTTCGGTGTAGCTGTTGTACTGTTACTTTTATTTGCTGATTCGGAGAAGCTTCGAATTTGAACAATGTATCTGTTTGCTTGCCTGTTTCCTGAGTGTTTATATATTTTTTAGGTTTAATAACTTCCGAGATCAACATATTAAATTGTTGGAGTTTTTCTAGTTCATAAATATTTTTTGCTTCGCTATAAGAGACTCTTAATAAATTGGAAGGTTTTAATTTCTTTATTCATCTAGTAAATAGGGCATTTTTTATCCAAACTGTTGATTTTTTGGTACATGGGGGGTCCAAACTGTGGTACATGGGGGGTCTTTGGTGCATTTTTGATCAGTATGTTTTTCACCACTCTGAGAACAGATAATTTTAGAGTATGGTGAGAAAAAGTAAGGCATCTATCGAATTAGGACTGTACATTTGAACGTTAATATTTTGATATCCTACTTTAAGAGTTTCAGGTGGTAATGGATACGGAAAAGTTACAATATATGAATTTGTGAATTTTTTCTTTTTCTTATTATTCTTTGAATATCCATAATTTTTCCATTTAGTTCTTCTATAATTTCATTTTTTTTTTCTAAATATTGGAATTCAAAACATCTTATAACTCCTTTTCTGTAATTTAAAGTGGCATGTACTTTAACAGTAATATAAAATTGGTCAGCAAAATTGCTTACAATCTTAAAGTTTCTGTGCCTGTTTACTTTTGTTAGTTTCAATGAGTAAATTGCCATCCCTCAATTTCTTAATATTTTTAACCTCTTCAACCTGTTTATTATTAAACAAGTAGGAGTATTTTTAATTGCTTCACCTACTTGAAGAGTGTCCGGTGGAGTTTTTATTCGACCTCTTTTTCTACGTTTTGTTGAGCTATGAGATATTCCATCCGTTTTAGTCGAATCATGTAATTATTATAAATAAATTTAAAACAATTAAAAGAAAAGAAAATTGATAAATAAATAGAATAAAAGGAAAACAACGATCTCAAAAAAATATCTATATATGTAAGTTAAACAAAAAGGAAAGCAATGAAAAATATTCTAATCTCGATAGAAGAGAACACAGCTAGCTGGTTAATCCAAGGGAACACCGTAAATACACAACCACTCTCGACGAAGTCTACTATCTGCGTTTTTGGAGTTTATCAATTCTAAAGATAGGAAGTTTTATTCCGGAGGAATAGAAAAGTTGCCAACACGTTGGCAGAAATTTATTGATAGTATTGGAGACTATTTTGATTAAATAAAACAGGTGTAAATCTTTATTTTTCCTTCTTAAACCAAAACCCTCTATTATTTTCTGGACCACCCAATATTTGTTATACTTTATTTCCTGAAACGTATAACAAATATATATTGGGCCTTCCCATCATCAGAAACATATTATTTAAGCGGCATTGGTGGTCTGACTCTTTATTTTTGCAGATTTTGACGAGCCATAATAAAATAAACAAATAGCATGAGAATAGGACGAAGTAATTTTAAAATCTTTACTATTGCCGACGTTTCAACCCAAGCATGTGGGTCATCATCAGGGGAATCGAACACCTCGAAGTGCCGGTAACAATAAAAATCTTAAAATGACTACGCCCCGAGTATTTATCACCCAACAAATTTTGTATATTCACAAAACAAACACAGAAAAAAAATTACATTTTTTTTTTCAAAAACTATTGAAACATACTTTCTGCATCCCCCTTACCTGAGAAATTTTTGTAGCTGGACACTCTGCACATAATAATCATAAGTAAAACAAAAGGAAATTCTGAAGTACAATGTAGGTATTTCGTGGTATAACAGCAAAGCCAGTCCGGAATATAAAGGATCTTAGAGGTGTGGAGGTACTACTACGAAAAGAAATTCTCAAATTATGAGTTAGCAATTTTAATACATCTAGGATTTAGTATGATAAGATCTGAAGAACCAGTCAAGGTTATGGACAACTGTATCCAAGACGAAATAGATGAAGCAATGTCCAACATGAAATTTGGAATGTTGGAAGAAGAGTATGTGGAAGAAATGTAGGAAGAGATAGTGAGCAATTTATTAAGCTTGGCACAGAGGAAATAGAAAAGAAAACGGGTAGATACTTCACGAAAAAATCTGTAATGAAAAGAAAATTCCCAAGGATTACAAAAATGTTATCACTCCAGTATAAAACAAATCTGGTATAGATAACGTATCATACAACTTTCACTTACCAACCTTAGGGCAGATAGATATTTTCTTATGTAGTGAAATCAACGTGAATACGACCGTTTTAACTTCTTTCAAAATAATTAATTACTATATATTTCTCGCCCATCGAATTTGCTAAATTTATACGTTTGCATCACTTTCCATTTGTTTTTACGACTGTGTTGTATCAAACAGTATACTAATGATTGTGGGGAAAATCCTGAGCCAGGGAAGCCGCTGAGTGGGCTCTGAAATCATTGTCTGATATTTTTCTAATACCGTGGTATGTTTGGGGCCTCTCGGGCAGGCCTCAAACATATTTTTTTCTCCGCAGTAGGTTTGTCCCCTTCCCCTTCTTAAGACAGATATTTGATACTGCTAATTATTAATAGAACAAAAAGTTAATTATTTAAAAAGTTGTACGTGGAATTCAAACATCCATTGAAACGTCACAAAATATTACCACAGAAATAATTTTAAAAAAGAAAAATTTTAATTTTAATTTTTTGATTTGTATGGTTGCCAAGAATAATAACATTTTTAAATTTATACTTTCTTTATTGAATATTAATACATTCTGCCACATTGAAGGGCATTAATATTAAGGCTACATAATTCATTAACACAATATGTACATGCAATTAATATCAATAATAATGAAAAAGAAATATAAAAAAAATATATGCCTGTGTACAAAAAAAAAATGAATATAATAGATAAAAGCTAGATGAAATTAAAGTAAATAAATCACATTCACACCTATGTACAATATTTACATTCACCCTCAGGGGACTCTGAGTCATGCCTTATTCCCCGACGTGGAAACCAAGGCAGGACTCCAGGAGATCCCAGTGCTTCACTCTCAGCCGCGTCACTGAAGAATAATAACATAGAACAATTTAAGTAAAACAAATAAAAATGAAGGACTCAGACCAATGGTAAAAGATTAAGGGGATGAATAAATGGCATGTGCAGATCGAAAGTTGTAAAGGTGTTAAAGTTCAGAAATAGCACAGTTAAATTAGACATGTTACCTTGCATAAGGTCGGGCAATTCCAATTTCTTTTTTATACTGTTAGGTATATAATGAATTTATAAAAAATCCAGATTTCCGCTCTTGAAAGCAGCCAATGTGGGCCTGCTGCAGTGCTTCAAAAACCATAGAACTTTCGAACATTCTTTCGTTTAAGCTAAATATCTCCTTTTTAGAGCAATTTCTTCACAATATTGCTCTTTCAGTTTTGAATGGAAGATTTCTATAACACCATTTTGAACCTCGTCTAGAGAATTTGGAGGTATTCCTTGAAAATAATTAGCCATAGGCAGTCAGGAGGTGTTAAGAAAATTATGTTACACGGTGGGCCAGACCCCCCTGACAGGATGGTCCTTCCCGACAGCGATACCGACGGGAAACACAGAATCTGTTTAATTTATCAGCTTCTTGCAAAAGATACGTAAACAGTTTTCTGAAACAGATACAGAAAGCTGTTGTAATTTAAACAGCCTCTTGCAACAGCTCTACTATACTTAAAACTGATGAAATACTTCAATGAACCACTGGCCATCGCACTGCTGCAACTTAAAAACAACTATACAGTTTCAATGAACAATTTTAACAATTCTCATTTTCTTATCTAATTACGTTTACGATTAAATATAATTTCATCGTATCTATCTATAATTTAATCTTAACTCTATTTTCATCTATCCCGCTTTAAAAAGGAGATTAGAATAAACCGAACAAACTTAAAAAATTCAATGGTTTTTGGAGCACCGCAGCAAACCCACAAGGCTTCAAGGACAGAAAGTAGGATTTTTATATTCACTACATACCTAACAATATAAAAAAGAAACTCGAATTACCCGAACTTTTTCAAGGGGAGGCCCCTTTTTGTTATAATTTAACTGGTCTAAAAATTAATGGTTTCTCTGTGTTTCTGATAGGAGTCGAAATATGAACGTCTGAAAGTCTCGGCTGACGGAAACTGTTGTTATAAAATTTCTTGACACGAATTCTTCCATTAATTCGGTACGTTGCAAATGTTCTGTGTCTTACAAAGCATCCAAGTCCATCTCCAGAAATCGTTGTGTTACCTACGATATTCCAGTGAGATGTCGTTAAGACAACCTACAACTTAGACGATCACATTCGTGCCGCCCATTTAAAATGGACTGCCAGGACCAACATAATCTTAATCTTAATGGGGATGTAATTGTCCTCTTAGGACCACGGGGGGAGAGGGAGGGGCTTTCGGGCTGGAGCCTCCCCCCTCCCCATAATGGTAAAATATAACTATGTTTTATGGAAAAATATCTTAAAAAATTATCTGTTAAAGTATTATTGTTCGTGTAATTACGGTGTAGGGGACCGCACTTCAAACTTGAGCCGAAGGCCCAGAACGGAGCACGACCTATTCGTTTTTTTTAATGTAAAATAAGAAAACAATATTGCTAATTGTGTTGAATTCTAATGTAGAAAACTTTCAAAAACCCAAAGACGCTTCCAGTAAAGTATACCAAGTAAATTTTTGTTGTAAAAAAACTATTCAGATTCGTTTATAGGTTCCACTAAAACACTAAAATACGAGTTTGTTTCTAAATCAAAAATCGTAAAACGCGAGTGGATATTTTCGATTCGGATCACATGTTTTTGTTTCCTCACTACCGAAGGTGGGGAAGCTTTGTATTCGTGCGAGAGGTTAAAAAAAAATGTGTGCTCAAAATCGAAAATTTCCACTTGCGTTTTTCGTTTCAGACATCAAGGATCAAATTTGGTTAGGTGTCTGTCTGTATGCAGTCAAATCGATGTAATGGGCATATGACCTACAACCGTTCATCCAATTCTCATAAAATTTTCAGGAATTGTGGATTTTGGTGTCTAGATGGTCCCATATCAATTTCATTAAATTCTAACCAGCACTTCCGCCTACGCACGCGCAAACGCATTTTTGTAGATTTTCCAATATTTTGGAAATGGCTCGTTCGATTTGGCTCAAAATTAAATAAAAGGTAGGTATTTGTGAAAAAAATAATATAGGATCAATTTGATTGAATTCTGTCTGTTGCTTTCTCTTATATACGCGCAAACGTGTTTTCCTTGGTCTATATCTCTAAAGCCGCAAGTTCGATTTGGCTCAACTTTTGAGGGAATTCAGGGATTGGTAAACGTAAAATGAATTGGCATAGCTTTTATCAAATTCTTTCTACTACTCAAAAAAAAAAAAAAAATACCTTCACTTTCATATCAAGAAATGTGTTATTTGATATGTCTATAGTTTGAAAACAGCGCATTCAATTTGACCCAAACTTAGAGGAAATTTGAAGGACAGTATAGAAATTACTTAGTATCAATTTTATTTAATAATTAAAATTAATATAAATAATTGTCAACAATATAATGGCTGCGAAATGTTAAAGCTACTGATCATATGGAGTGGCAGTTAGATTATTACAATATTGTTACGGGGTTATAAAATTTTAGGCTTTATTAAAAAAATTAATTGATATTGTATTGTTTGTTCGATTCCAAACGTTACTGGTATAACACTTAATGCCGTTACTTAGACTTCGTGTAATGTTCAATACATTTAAAGTAATTTATACTTTGAGTTTAAAAAAAAAAAAGTCTTATTTATGATTGTGTTTATTTCCATTGAAGTTCAACCAGTTCGTCTTGGTCTCTATTTCCTCCTCAAATATCGAAGTTATGTGATCTATCACTACTATTAACTCAAAAGGTCGGATGTAAATTTTTCAAATTTTCTTCTATTTGTGCTAAAGGTGATATTTTGTAGTCTGCAACTGATATAAGTAGTCTGCTACTATGGAAAACAGTAATAAAATATGAAATTATACTAATGAAGCTTACAGAAATAATAATTTTGTATGCACTCTTACAAAACAATCAATTTTTACACACTATCTTTTGCACTAACAGAAGTGAAATGCATGTTTAGTATGCATTTTTTTTTTTAATTTAGGATAATCAAATATGAAATCTTCGAATACGGCATTCTTTCGCATTTTAATATTAGCTGATAAACGAAATTCGTGGATATCAAACTCACAAATGTTGAACGGTTACTGTATTTCCGAATCGGTTTCTCCCAGAGATTTTATTCTCGTACGAAAAATTTTATAACTTGTAATATTTTTGTATTTTAGTCAATAAAAACGGTGAGGAAGCTATACTGACCTTACTTGGCAGACGTTTTTTTAACCTGTCGTACGAATACAATGCTTTCCTACCTTCGGTAGTGAGGAAGCAAAATATAAATATATTTGAATGATAACAATTACCAATTCCTTGACTTGGGATTAAATTCAGCACTGGGAGTTAAAGCTCGACATATTTCTCGATTTTCTGATTTCACACAAATCTCTAAACTTTGCCCATACAACGGGCGTTTATGAGGGGAATTTTATGAGATTGAGCCTATCAAGCCCACAGAACAAACAATTTGAACTTGAACTAAGTGTTGAATAAATAAGTCTATAAATGTGGAACGTGTTAAGGAATAAAGAAATCTTTCTTATTCACTTCACAACACTAGCGGATCCAGGATTAGGATCTAGTATTGGAGGGGGTGGGGGACTTTAGCCCGAAAGATTTTTTTTTTCAAATATATATCGATTATTACTTAGGGAGAAAAAGAAAGGAACTAACTACCTATATGAAATAGAGTTTAAACTCTATGGTGATTCTTTGAGACTAAATATAACACGAACAATAATACTTTTAGAGGTAATTATTAAATATTTTTTTCATAAGATATTGTTATATTTTATCATTTTGGGGGGAACTTGAGCCCGAAAGAAAATATTTATTAATTTTAATATTTTGAAGAAGGCATGATGGATGGGGAAAGGTTTAGTGGGAGAGGGTAGTCCGTGGGCCAGAACCTCCTCCCATGCACCCTCCACCCACTATAAATTGCATGGCGTTGTGTTCCTTGTAACTATATATTAAAAAAAAGCAAGTGTTCTCTCTCAAAAAAAGTGGGCGCACTGTCCCAGATATTTTCGAATGGCGTCCAAACTTAAAGGGTTGACAACCTTGACTTGAGTTAGTTTTTGAGTCACTGAGATCAACAGATGCCTTAATTTCCTCATAATTGGTCTTTTATTAAAGCTGAGTAGTCAGAGAATAATAAACATTTAAAAAAAAATTATAAATACTAGTAGAGTCTTTTTACAAGTCGTTCAAACTAAGGGGCGGATGGCCGAATGGGCTAAAGCGTGTGCACAGCACCGCGAGTTGCCCGGCAACCAGATAACTGAAGTTATAAGAGCTTAAAAAGTACGAATTCGCGTTCCGGTGCTGGAGTAAATTTTAAATGCCTCTCCTCCCGCCCCGGAAAACAGCGAGGTATGGAAGAACAAAAAAAAAAAATAGTTCAAAGTAAAGTTAAATATCAAGCGCCATTTGTATTTAAACTGCCAACAATAACGAAAAACGCCTTGAAATAAAATATCGAGGGAATACTTTTATCTTTCTAAATCACTGAATAATTTTTAACATATTTGAAAAGGTTCTTTACTCTCTTTATTTGTCTATTACATATTTTCCACCAAATAATGTTTCCATCAGTTCCGTGCTATATTTTTAAAGATTTAGGATTTTTACTCCGTAATTAATAAATTATTAAAAATAAATTCTATAAATGTTTACGTCATTAACTTTTATAAGGCAGGTCATCAAGAGAAAAAGCCAAAAAAATCCAGATTTATCTGATCTTTTATTTTCATGTATTACTACTAAAGAATGGATCAAAGCGGAAAATTTATTCTTTAAGAAATTAAGTAACGTAAAATTGTTCGTCGAACCAGTACCTAAACTTAACAATTTGATTAATTGATATTGTCTATAACCACGGTCAATGAACGCTAATTTTTACCGACATTGTCTAAATCTGAGAAAGATTAATATAAATGGCTCTCTCTACAGTTTGGAAATGAGTTCTCTAAGAAAGAAAACACAATAATTTGCAATTCCGATCCAATCGGAGACCAAATAATTAATTTATACCTTCCGTCATGAAAACGTTCCCAACAGCAGCTATTTTAAGAAAAAAACAACACTTTCTAATGAGAAATATACAAATTATTATCGTGGCCGGTTTTATGAATCGCATGGATTTTTCAAGGAGACTATGAACGGCTGAATGAAAGATATTTTTTTTATTTATCACTTAGCGTTATAAAGTCCATTAAAGAAGTTGGAGGTCGCAATGCGTCTAGATCTATTGGAACTGAATAAAAATTGGGTCCGGGAGAAAACTCGTATTTTCTTGTGCTCGAATAAAAGGTTGTATGATAGAATATTTTCCTCCATTATGTATTTCTCCTGCGAGACTCAGTTCGGAGTCAATAGCACAACCATCGCATCTCACGGCGGTCCAAAAAACTACATCCTCTTTTCTTTAAACAGTTGTTTGTGTCACGATAATAATTTTTTTATTTTTTTTATATTACATTAGGAAATCCGTGCATGAGAATGAATTTTCCCAACTTTTATCTTTTCTTTAAATAGGTGTTTTTCGGAATTTTGTTTCGAAACAAAAATTTAAACAGTCGGTTTCTCTTTGGTATTTTATTTTTTTTAGGATGCTGTATCTGAATTAGATGTTCCCGAGCGAAATGTCTGAACGTTTTTTGTTTTTTTTTTCTTTTTTTTTTATTTACATGAATTTTATCGATATTATTAAATACAAAGTTTTTTTTTTTAGTTTTTTTTTATTATTGAAATTTACAACTGTATTGAATGATAAATAAAACAAGTAAACATGAAACAAGCAACATGACATGTACAACATGAAGAGAAACTACCCATTGGTAGCATTCCAAATATATTTCTATATTAGAAGGCACCGAAACCATCTTCTTTTCAGACTCCTCGGAGAGTTATCAGGAACAGAAGAAGAAGCAATGTTGGAAACAAGAGGGTTAAGATGGCTCAGAAGTTTATTATGGAAGGCTATGTATCTGCATTGAGCTAAATCGAAACGTATGGAACATTAACTTCTTTATGGATGATTTTATTTTTGACAAAGTAAGCGAGAATTGAGGATTTTACGAAGGATTTTGGATTGTAGGGATTGGATACGA